GGGGAGGAGAGGAATATAAGGATGCCTATGCGATGTACTCACTACTATAATTAAGATTCTGATTACAGACAGATTGCTCTGACATAAACAAAGTGCCTTTCCGAGGGTTACTTTCTACTTGGTTATTCCATTTCTACTCATCGGCGTCTATGGTTTAGCGATCAGGCGCTCCACTGTCATACGCAGAAGATCAAAATTCGATTCAAGAATGAGGCGAATTTTTATCGACTTTTTCTGCTGGGATACTGTATCTCTCTCAGTCCAGGTTGGCCCTAATAGGCCGGGTCGGAAGCCCACCTACTAAATGAACAAAATTATTATGGTGATGGGGGCGAAAAAACACCTAAATCTACGGGGTTTTTTCTTCATAACCCCAGGACAGAGACGAAAATATGATAGAAGGAATAGTAACTTTATTCATAAAAGTACTTAATACATTCCTTCTGCCCCAAATTGCACGTGCTTGGGTTGTTTGTTTGGGGTTGTTGTTTTTTTGCTTTTTTTTTTACAAATACAACAAACTTTGGCTAGACCAGAAATGTAAACGTTTCAATCAGATCTGAACTCAGAACTCAGAACGTCCTCAAGCTTGCCAGGTTCATCAACCGTCTACTCCACCGTGAGTGGCTATTTATGGGGACACATCGTTCAGATTTAGTGGGCGTTCAATAGCAGTTATATATGGCATGATATCAGAAAACGTGTATACTCTCGTCCTCAGCAAAAACCTCACCTGGCGTGACATGCAACACTTGACAGTACTCACCTCCAAGAGAAATTCCCTGTATGATTCTAACGGAATCCACCACTGGAAGCTGAACGGCGCTCACCTCCTGTTCAACCATTTGTTTGGCTATGGAGTTTTGGACGCTGCCAGCATGGTGGATCTGGCCAGACAGTGGAAGGGATTGCCAGAAAGGTTCCACTGCAAGGCAGGCAGCATCACTGACAAGCAGTGGGTACCCCATAATATTTTAATTGTAATCTGATAACAGTACCTCCTGGCATTTTTGGTTTCTTAACAACTCTTACGAATCGGCAAATGGGGCCTCAAAAAACACAAATAGGGGGAGAAGGGAGGGGGGAAAGGGTTGGGGTTTCGCGCGGGGGAGGAGTGGGGTGGGGGAGGCAGTGTTCCCGGAAAATCCAAACTCCCGCGGGAAGACATCAGGTTTACGTGAATTACCTCTCGAGTCTGAAAAAGCGTTAGAAAAA